TATTGTTTGGGCCATGTAGCCACCGCATAGATGCTGAGGCCGTGATGTTTTGTCTGAATGAAAACTAATTTCAAGTTACATGCCTCTGACTGGAATTCTAGTGCCCATGGCTCTCTTGATGCTTTGTTTACTGTACAATTCTCATTCAGGAAGGTGTTTCTTTCAGTTGCTCAATTTGCTCGGGCTGTGTTATTATTTATCGTGTAACAACCTTGCAACAGCAACACATTTAGCTTGGTTTTGGAAATTCACTTTTATCAGGGCTTCTTGGTTGCTTGCAGCCTGTTCAAAATGCAACAACGCGTTTGTTCTCTGGTCTGAGCAAACGTGATCATATTACACCCATCCTGCATTCATTACACTGGCTGCCCGTAAGTGCCAGAATCAGATTGATTTTAAATTGGCCTTGATGGTGTTTAAAGCCCTTACTGGTGTAAGCCTATATCTGTGACCTCTTTGAGCCTGGTCGTGAGGGGAACTGACGCCACCTACCTTTCAGGGCCCTCACTGTTTCCTCTCACATTAGCAGATGGGCCCAGGGAGTGCAATTCACTTTTACATACCATCTTAAAACTGTGACTTTCCCCCCCATTAAGACTCTTGTGAGCCTTTTATCTATATCCACCCCTCTCTGGCTTTTTCCTGTGTGTCACATCTGGTTTTATGAGAGTAATTTTATGACACTTCTATATATTTATTGAATTATTGTGCAGCACCCAAGTGCCCAGATATGATCCATGCTGGAAACATAAATTGTCAAGATTTACACTGGAAACAGATATTGCCATGATCTTAATGAATACTTTTCTCAGGGTCAGTGAGACAGTGACCCTCCCCCTTCAAGAGAAAAAGAATATATTTTTGGAATCAAGTGATGATGAGCAGAAAGTTTATGTAAAAAAGTGCTGAGATTCTTGATTTTGGGACAGGATGGTCACGTTGGTTATTAGTCTACAGTGGCCTAGAAATCTCAGTATGAGAGGCCAGTATTTTTTCCCCAATAGCAAGAGAATTTTTCATAGGGACTTTTTTTTTTTTTTTAAGCATGACCCCTGGCATCTGTCTGGCCTTAATCCAGTGTTGCTGCAGCCGGCGGTCCCTTACTATGGCCTGTTCTTCTCTCTGCCGGAACGCTGCCCACATTGTTCCTATCTGTGATATGTGGACAGTGCAGATTCCCCGCCTCCCTAGACTTGGGTTTGGAGAATGCTTCCCCACCTCTTCTCGCTCCCCACACACACTCTTCAAGTTGCATGGTCTATTAGGGAGCCCCTTTGTGATGTAATTGGATTTCTCCCCTTGTTAGTTTGCAATGAAAATGTCATCTATATCGGGGAGGTGCTCATTCATCTCGAATTAAATTCAGTCGTCTCTTCGGTGAGCTGTGAAACTATTCACACAGCAGCAGGCAGCTGCAACTGGAGGCTTCCTTGACAATACCCCACACTGCTGTCTGAGCGCAGCTTCCCCAGTCCTGTAGAGCTGGCTTGCTCCCATAGGGTGAGTCAGGGGAGTACTCTGTTTCCTGAAAGCTGCAGGTCCGCCCCAAATTTATTACCAAAAACCCTCATCCTGGAAACACACGTATACACACACAACAGAGAGAGATTAGAGGTGTTCTGCATCTACAGTTTCAAAAATGGCTTCTGATTTTACATGTCCAACAAGAGGCAACTTGAGCCCCCAAAAGAAAAGGATCCAAACTCAGTAGCCAGTTTTGAAAATATCAGCCACAATGCATTGATTAGTTTAGAATGAGGGAAGTATACATTTAAAATTAAAGGCTGCTGGTGGCTGAATACAAGATGTGATTAATAATTCATAATTCTATTAGGCTCTTAGGGAATTTTATATCACGGCTGCTCTAAGTGAAGTGTGACTTCCAGCCACACTAGATGGAGAGCATTACCATTACAATCTGTAGGGGAATGAACTTGATAGGGATTAGTGGAAATTGCCTTTATAATACAAAGCCATGAAGTGTTTTCATATTTGTGCTCAGATATCTTGCTCTAACATCACCATCAGACTACCATTTGTTATGTGGTCCATTTACAGAGAAACAAAGAGCCAAACTATCTTTATTAAGTGCTCTCACGCACAGCTAAACTTTTGGAATAGACAAAATATAGTAGATTGTGTCTGATTTTCATGAAATTGTACATATGCATTTATCTGTGTATGAACTAGGGGAAAATGTCTGACATTTGTGACATATTAATTTTGTATTCATTTTATTCATCATTAACAATATCAATAGATTAGAATTGCATTCTAAATACAATATGATTGCCCTCTGGTGGCCAAGTTAATGGCTATACTTTTTCAAACAACACTAACCTACTGAATACTGGGGAAAGTTTGTTTCAAATTTCAAAGCTATTTAATTCACATCCCATTGGGGCCAACTGCTAACTGAAGAGCCCATATGTTGCTTTTTTTCTTACTGTCAAGTGATCACTACAATTTTAACATTTAATTATCTTTATCCTCCAAAAATACTCAGCAATTAAAAATATCTAAACAACTTTACATATATATGACAAATATATGATAAACTATAGTTACTAAGATGAATTTGCAATGAAAAAGCAACACCAAACAAAAAGGCTGGATTTTAGGGGATTTCAGTACTAATGGGGTAGAGGGAAACTGGAAGAATAAATAGGAATCTCTGTTAGTTGAAACTTGTGGAGTTTTCTCTCCCCTACACTGAGGGAGAAGTGGAGCCCCAAACCAGTATGGCATTGGTATACAACACACCTGTCTAGTGGGATAGTTTGGCTAACCATCTAAATTCTGAACCTCTTGAAATTTCCTCATTTTTCAATCGGTAGGCTGGTTTGCTGAGTGCTTTTTTACTGGTTCGTTCGTTTGGTTTGTTCTGTGGAGGCTAGTCTACTACATGCTAAAATGTAGTCTGTCTGAAATTTTATTTTTTATTTCAGTTCTCTTGTAATGATAGAAGCAAAGTAAGAATAATTTAAAGTGGAAAGGAAAACTATTATTTCAGTTTAGTGTTAACTGGGCAGTGGAAAACTGTTGCCAGTACTAAGAGAAGTGTAAGCCTCCTGTCCCTCCAATGTGTATTCAAAGCATGTGTTTAGTGAAGCATATACAGGTCAGATTCAGGAATGCTTTCCCTAAATACTTTAAACAGCGAGAAGGATTCTAACTGGGAAATCACAGAAAACCTGTCTACCTCTGCTACTGCTGATCCCGTGCCTGAATTTATTATGCCAATTTTATAGCTCATTATCACTCCTGTTGCTGTATATGTGCAGACCATAGGTCATAGGACTCAGTAATGCTTTGTTGTTTGGTGTGTACACAATATATTGTAAATGCTGTGTGATTATCTGCGTGTTGGTCTGCCTTCCCTTGTCATCTCTCTGCAAACCAAAATTGTGACAAATAGCTGTCCATGACCCCATATTTGTACTTGAAATTGTGAAAAGTTTTTGGGTCCTCACAATTTCACAAAAGGCTAAACTGAACAGGTTTGAACACTACGTGGAACAAACTGGTAAAAACTCCCTCAGAACATTTTTCAACACTTGTGATCAGGACTAAGTATGATCACATTAAACTCCTAGAAAGTTGCCAGCATGGTTTATCTGGCTAATATAGACAGAACCTGTGGTATGTGTGTGGCCTGTAGCACAAACAGACATTGCACACTTTATCCTTCAGATACTTGGAGCTGGAGAGATTGATTTTAAAGCCAAACCCAAAGGGATTTCCAGGAGTCAGAGGGCATCTGCAACATTCAGTTCAGTTTTAAAAGTAAGTGAAATGTGTGGGCTAAAGGGCTTGACAGTGTCTCTTTAAGGATTTCTTTATTTCTGAAGGAGTGGGGGAAAGGGATTAATGTTGTGGTCCTAAACTCCAAACCAGCTTTCCCCACTTCCCTTTTGTTTTTTGTCTATTAGAAAAGAAGGCAGCAATCTGTTAAGAGGATTAGCTCCATCACTCGAGCTCACAATGGGGACCCCCCAACGAAGAAGGTCTATCTTTGTGAGTGTCCATCTTGGATGCTTTGCTTCCCCGTGGAGGTGCAAGCAAAGGGAGACCAGAGGAGATGAACAGGGTCACCACCCTGTCTCTCTGTCCATGTCACATGGTCTCGCCAGTTGATTTCAACTAAGCTGATGCCAAAGGTCTAATTAGATCCAGACTGACAAAATATAACCCATCCTTATGTCAATAAACATGTCCCATTTAAAGCTTTCTGATCTAGAAAATGAACTGTTACTGTGAACTCTACACAGGGTAATTTGGACTGAGGAGAAATGGAGTGCTTCTACAAAGCAAAATTTGTTATGACAGGGGACCTGACTGTGTCAGAACCTGGTAATATCCTCATGGTGTTATAACGCATTATATTCCTGTGTAGACAGAACTAACCATGTTACTAAACTGTGTTACAGTCCTGGAATTTACAAGTCTAGAGCAGCCTAACCGTAGTCTGAACCCATGAACTGAACTGCTGCCAACTGCTAGCCAGGATTCACAAACCAGTCCCTATGCTAAACCTAGCCTGCCCCCACAAACTGCTACCAAACTTTACTCCAGCCTAGGTTAACAATCATCCCCAAACCATATCGTAGCCTGCCATTGCCTATAAATTAGCTCTAAACTAGTTCCAATGTTAACCATAGCTTGGTCCCAGATACTTGTGCCAGATTTCACACTCACCGGAGCACCCCCCCCCAACTTTAAACCAGTCACAAGCCCTACCCTAACTTAAGCCTACAAGCTGGTCCCCAATTGGCCCCAAATTCAATCCCATACCATCTCCAGCCCATGAATTTGTCCCAGTTTGAGGCACTTTAACTGCCCGGCAAACCTGGCTTGTGGGATAGCTTTGTGAAAGTCAGGACAGTCCTACAGATTTGGAGACAAGTGGTCAGTGTTTCAGATTTCTGATAGGCTGTAGCCTGGGCAGTAGCACTGGAAAACTTTTAAAAGTGGGAGTGCTGAAAGCCAGCTCCCTTGCCCCTGTCTGCGCCTCCCACCCCAGCTGGGGCTGGGAGCAGTGTCGTGTCTCGGGGAGGTCGGACAGAGGTAAGGGGGCAAAGGCTGGGGGCGGGCACGGGGCCAGGAGTGGAGCCCCGGGAGCAGGGGGGCGGGGTGCAGGGCCCCGGGCACGGAGCCAGCGCCCCAAGAGCAGAGCCCCGGGCGCAGGGCTAGCGACCAGGGTGCAGGGCCAGTGGCGGGACCCGAGTCCCGGGCACGGAGCCCCGGGCGCAGGGCTAGCGACCAGGGTGTGGGGCCAGTGGCGGGACCCGAGCCCTGGGCGCAGGGCCGGGGAACGGAGTCCCAGGCCCGGGAGTGGGGCCCTGGCGCGGAGCCGCAAGCACGGGGCTAGCGGCCGGGGACCAGGGCTGCCAGCCGGGACTCAAGCCCTGGGCTGGGGCGTGGAGGCCTGGGCGCTGGGCCAATAGCCCCGCGTAAAACCTGGGGGTGCTGCAGCACCTCCGCACCCCTAGTTTCCACGCCACGCCTGTGCCTGGGGCGCATAGTCCCATATTCCCTTCTCTTTGTGCCAGGGGCACTCGCCATGCCTAGATTTCAGATGCATCAGGATTATTAGAGTTGATCAGAGTCATGGTGTGAATGAACATGCAGGCCAAGGGAGAGGAGTGTAGCATAAATACTGTGGAGAGAGAGGGGCTGATTGCAAAAGAGAGCTCTCTAAATCTTCACAGCCAGTTCAGAGAACTGCAGTTTACTGTGGAGCCTGAAGAGGGGTTTGCTCAGCTCTGGAGAGCCTTGGCTAGAAGAGAAACTGCCTGCTCACTCACCTCGCTCAACTAACTTCCTGTGATGTCAGCCTGGAGGAAGTAGCAGTTTGGGTACAAGTCAGTCAGACTGTATGGAGTAAACAGAGAGAGAATCAACGAGGTGAGTATGCTATTTGTAACAGTGTATCAGTAATCTGCTCAGGCAGCAGTACAGTCTCTTCTGCTTTCCCTTCTCCTCCCACCACCCTCAGATCGGCTTCTTGCAAAATTTCAAAATTATGTCAAGAAATGTGAGGCAAAGAATAAGAGTTTCTAAGTACCGTGCAGAATAACACAGGCAGCTTGGATAGGATAGTGTTCCTGCTCAGGCTAATTTAAGCCATGTACCTGACCCAGAGGAATCTGTTAGTGCTCTTCCTCTACTTGCCCAGCATATGTGGTATGATCAGCATGTTCATGTGTCTGTGCATCTATCAGCGCTCCTGGGAATGGGAGAGACTGGCCTTCAGATTCATATGACAAACTGGGTTACAGGCCATTCTGAGCCTGCTCTCGTAGAGGGGAAACACACTGCTAGCTGTCTCTTTGAAAGGGACATATGCATTGTGCATAGGGCATAGGTAAGGCATAGCTGCTATGTTGGATCTTGCTTATCCCCGGGGATTGGATGAAAGTTTCTAACCATCCCTTAAAAAAAATAAGAAAAAAACATCAGTTTGCATTATAGGCAGGGGTTAAGGTCAATTCCAGTTTTCACCCCATGCTTTGAGCATTCGTAGTTCTAATAGCCTGGAAACCATAAGTGCCAAGTTTTAGAAACTAGATCCCTGTGGTGTGATGGTCAGTTTTCCTGGCTGTGTCATAGATTTGACTGTTCATACCAGTTTTTAATTCTTACCAGCAGAAACATGTGTTTGTTAAATCACAGCACAAAATATTCTTCTGTGCAGAGCCCTCCTGCCTGTTTTTCCTAAGGTTCTGCTTCTTAGAGATTTGCTATTACAAGAGGGAAAACCTTATTTTAGAACCTTTTTTAACTTGTAAAACAGCTGACTTTATTGCAATTTCTAAAACTATGTTCATATGACACTTTCAAAAGTATTTTTGACAGTTTTTCAAAAATATCATTCTCTGGGGATTTCATAGCCATGAAAAAGTATCTTTTTCATTTTCTGTCAGTAGGATTTTTGCTGTGTCCAAAACAAAAAAAACCCACATTTATAGTGTGGGTAAGTAATAGATAAAATGAGAGAGATAGACACACATATCTTCCCATTCCCAAAGAGGCTAGATTGTGGCATTTACATCACTATCTTTGGTATGGTGTAATGTGGAGCTGGATCACACCAGGATGTATGCTGGGGAGAAGGTGCCATGATGTCTCTGGGTTTCTCTGTGGGCACATTCCTTAGGATGGAGCAGATTCCACCCCTGTTGCACAGGCCCTCCTCTGCAGGCTGGTGAAGAATGTGGGTTGCACCACGACCCCCTACCTGCTCCCTACTCCTCCCAACCCCTTGTTTTCTGTCTTTGCTCCCTGGTAGGCAGCAGGAGTGAACAGTTCCTACACTCCCCAGAGGCCTCTTGTGGGAGGCCCTTATGCAGTCGTGCAAAGAGTGGGGGAAACTTCTTGCATGTCCCTCCTTGACTGCACTCACAATATGGCCCAAGATGTTTAACTGGTTCCCCCTGAGCCTCTCTTCCCTCCTGGATCAGAATGAAGTAGCTAATAATGTAGGGTTACCATATTTCAGCAAGCAAAAAAGAGGATGGGAGGAGCCCCGCCCCCGTCCTGCCCTAGCCCCGCCCCTGCCCCTCCCACTCCCCCCCCTCAGAACCCCCAACCCTCCCCCCGCTCCTTGTCCCCTGACTGCCCCCTCCTGGGACCCCTGCCCCTAACTGCCCCCCAGGACTCCACCCCCTACCTAAGCCTCCCTGCCTCTTGTCCCCTGACTGCCCCCTCCTGAGACCCTCCCCCCATCCTAACTGGCCCCTTAGGACCCTCCCCCCTACCTGTACCCTGACTGCCCCAACCCTTATCCACACCCCCAGACAGACCCCTGGGACTCCCACGCCCCATCCAACCACTCCCCACCCCCTGACAGCCCCCCCCAGAATTCGCGACCCATCTAAACCCCTCTGCTCCCTGTCCCCTGACTGCTCCAATCCCTCTCCCCACCCCTGCCCCCTGACAGCCCCACCCCCAGAACTCCCAACCCCCACCCCCGCTCCTTGTCCCCTGACTGCCCCCTCCTGGGACCCCTGCTCCTAACTGCCCTCCAGAACCCCACCCCCTACCTAAGCCTCCCTGTTCCTTGTCCCCTAACTGCCCCCTCCTAAGACCCCCCCCAACTGCCCCCCAGGACCCTACCTGTACCCTGACTGTCCAAAACCTTCTCCACACCCCCTCCAGAAAGCCCCCCCCGAACTCCCGACACCCCCCCCGTCTCTTGACTGCCCCCTCCAAAACCTCCCTGCCCCTTCTCCGACCCCCTGGCCCCCTTGTTGTTGGCCTTCGCCTAACGTCTCTGTGAACTTGCTCAGGAACGGCCTGAGCCGTTCGTCCCAGCACGCTGGGCAGCAGGGGAGGAGGAGCGGGGGAGGAGCTCCAGACTGCCGGAGGCGATCTGCGAATGCAGGGAGGGAGGGAGGGAGTGATCTCTGCTGCAGGGGAAGCGGAGGAGGGGCTCTCTCTGGCTGTCGGAGCCCCATGTAAGTGGCACCATCCGGCTGGCTGCCCTGTTAGCCGCGCGCGCTCTGCGTGGGGGGGGGGCGGGGGAAGTCCGGACATTTACAAATTCCCCCTGGACGCTATTTTTAGTTCAAAAAGCCGGACATGTCCGGGGGAATCCGGACGAATGGTAACCCTAAATAATGCTCAGAGGGGAACTACAGGTCCTTTCTCCTGTGTGTTACAGGTGTGACAGGGTGGGTATATTGCGTGACCCCGAGGATGGTCCGGATTTTGGCCAACGGAGATATTGTACAGGATGATGACCCCCGGGTGAGAGCAAATGCTCAGCACAGGGAGAACACCTCCCGGCAGGTAATGAAACAAAAAAGTGTGAAAAAGTGCAGTGTATTTTTGTAATTGCTTAGATTTTTTGCTCAAGGAAATGGATGTGCATCATGATTTACATCTTCAATGGATGCTTCATAATTAACATTCCCTTTAAGCTGCGTGCCTGTGCGGCTGCACAGCAGTGTGGTACCTACAGCACACCTCACGTGGCTGGAAGCGTGGCCAACAGCTGGGCCCTCCTTCCAGAACCTGCAGCAGCTCCTCTTTTGTGCCATGGCAAACCTCAAGCCAGCAGGGATGGGTAAGGAGTGTGTGTGTGTGTGTGTGTGTGTGTGTGTGTAGACAGGAACCATGGTTGCCATTTAGGTAGGGCAGGGGGGTGGCTGTTCACGGAGCCGGCTGTGGAGAGTCTGGTCCCTGCCACTGGGAGCAGCCTCCAAGGGCTACCAGTGCTGAAATAAGCCTGGCCTGTCAGGGAGCTGTGCTGCACCACTGCTGGGGCAGGAGCGCCTGGTCTGTACTCCTGCTTGCTCTGGGCTGCAATGGCAACTCCCTCCCAGGCACCCCGGTTTGGGAGGCAGGATCTTTTGGGAGGGTATGGTAGGGGGCTCCCTCAAGGGCTGAGGCTCCTGGGAAGGGGTGGGTTTAGAAGCTTATGGTAGGAAAGATAGGGGCTCCTGGTTTCCTAACTGTGTGCATTTTTTAACTCTAAAACTCTTGAAAGTTAATGGGCACTCAGCCACTGCTATGTATGCCTGTGTGTCCCAGATGCATGTGTATTACTAACGTGTTGTTTTAAAAATCCCTTACACCAGTGGTTCTCAAAACCGGTCCGCCGTTTGTTCAGGGAAAGCCCCTGGTGGGCCGGTTTGTTTACCTGCTGCGTCCGCATATTCGGCCGATTGCAGCTCCCACTGGCTGCGGTTCGCCGCTCCAGGCCAATGGGGGCTGCGGGAAGCGGCGTGGGCCGAGGGATGTGCTGGCCGCCCTTCCCACAGCCCCCATTGGCCTGGAGTGCCGAACCGTGGCCAGTGGGAGCTGCAATCGGCCGAACCTGCAGATGCGGCAGGTAAACAAACCGGCCCAGCCTGCCAGGAGCTTTCCCTGAATAAGCGGTGGACTGGCTTTGAGAACCACTGCCTTACACTGTTCAATGCAATATAGTGTAAAAAGATTTTTTTTTTTAAAAGTCTCAGATTGCTACAAAAATGTAGCTCTCACTGGAGTTTGAAACCCATTCAGAGCAAATAAAATGTAAAGGGAACATTGCTCATAATGTTCTGTCCAGAGGGCTAGGCAAGACAGAGTTGGGAGAAGCAGCATTCCACATTTTACTGCAAAATACTGGAAGAATCTTTGGGGTAGGCAGGGGAAATGACAAGTGCTGGTGTGGGTGCAGAATTTGGGTAGGAATCTGAGTTCACATTAAGGGCCTAACCACCCCTGACCAAGGAAGAACACACAGGAGGGGAAAAGATGCTGCAAATCATGGTGCGCTGTGACTGCTGGGCTCTGTAATGTGGGCATGTTGTGCTGGAGAATGGAATGACTGTTGAGGCCAGGGATCTGCAGAAAACATTGGTTTAAGCTCTCTAATTCCCAGACATCAGTTCAGGGCCAGTTCTAGGGGTGGGTGATCACGGCAGTTGCCTTGGGCGCCAACTTCCAGAGGGCAGAGTACTGCTGTGCTGCTCTTTTCTGTTTGTTTTTGTTTTGCTTGGCTGCTCTGGGGGTGCAGAAAATGTCTGTCATCCTGGCCAACAAAATTCCTGCGGCCATTCCTGCATTGGTTGCCCCTCTGCCAGCCCTCCTGGAACCAGCAACATGGCAGCCTGGCTGTGGGGGAATCTTGTTGCTATCAGCTGTCCTACTGAAGTGGTGCATTGTAAGTCCCTTTGTTGGCAGTTGGTAATGTGCTGGGGGAGCAAATGCTGGTTTGAACAGCATTGACTCCAGCTTGGATTTCAGAAATCTGGTAGTAGTTAGAGAAGGATGATCCTTGGCTCCACCCCCTTCTCTCCTGGCACACCTCCCCTTCCTCCAGTCCCATAAATCCCTGACCATGCAGAGTTTGGAAGGGCTTCAGGTTCTCAGGGAAGGAGCTGCTATTCCCAGCTGTTTCCACCTGGCTGGGTTCTCCTACACTTGTGTAAGTGGGTGCGTGCGTCTGGCCCCAAGGGATTTACATACAGGGTGGGTGGGTGAAATTGTGTACTGTGAGGTGTAGCCCAAAAGATGCTGTCCCTGTAATTGTTCTAATGTACCCTACTCTCCATTCCTCTCTCCTCACAATTTCAACTTCAGTTTAGAGCGTAAAAGCCAAGCAGTTCCTAAGAAACGTTTGTGAGAGCCAGGGCAGTCAGTTGTGGTGCTTGCTCTCTGCCGCATTGTCTCTCTCTATGACCACGGGATGATATTTTACTCTGAATTAAATAAATAAAGAGGAGATTTTTGCCTTGTTCTTTCCTTCAGCTCCCACCCCTTCTGTGAGTCTGATTCAGCAGGCTGAATTCCTTCTCTCTCTTATGTTTGCAGGAGTTTTTCAATGAGGTGCCTAATGCAGGCCGTGCTCCACTGCAGCAGCAGGCTGCCAGGCCGGGGGGGCGCTCTCCGTTTTCGGAACTGAACCAGCAGCTAGTGAACATGGGATTCCCCCTCTGGAGCCTCGGTAACCAGGTGGTGGAGCCGGTGATGTCCATCCTGCTGCTTTTCCTCCTCATGATGGTGGGCGTGCGTGGCCTTCTGTTGGTGGGCCTTATCTACGTGGTCTCACACCTGAGCCAGCGGTGACCGTGCCCTCACAGTGGCCACCACTGCTTCCTGCTTTGTGAAAGAAAGACCAGGTTTCCTTGTCAGGCATGGGTATGTTTGTGAGTGTGCCTCCCACTGAGACTCTGTGTGTGTGTGTGCGCGTGTGTGTGTGTGTGTGTGTGTGTGTGTGTGCAGGTGCATAGTTGTGTATCCTGAAAGTATCTGTGTGTAGCGTTCAAGGGGAATTGAAGTGTGGAGTTGGGATGCCCAAGGGCACAATCCCCAGGTGTAGCATTTTTTCTCACATTAAGCTGCTCCTTTCTGAGGGTTGCCCAAGTGAGGCTTGGCTTGCCCAGGAGCTTCAGCCACCGGCTAGAGAGGTCATGCCAGAAGCCCAAACTTTGGTGCAGCTATAGAAAGGGTCTGGCATGTCATGTTGTGTCATCCAGCACTTATCAGATACAGTGCCTAGACCTGAGGGGAACTGAAATGGGAGCTTAATTTACATCTGCAGGTGTGTAGGGCAGTAGAGGTCTCTGAGGAGTAATAAAACAAACATGCATGAATGTGAGACAATTTGAAAATGGCCTGGAGAAGGTGGGGTTTGCTTTGTAATTCCAATCAGATTTTAGAGGGTATTGGAAGGGAAGTTTAAATTAAAAGAAGAGATATTGACGGGTTTGAACTGACAGCACAGTATATGCTACATCTTAAACATATAGGATTGGAGGGCTATTATAAGGGGCTGAAGGGGATATTAAAATAGAAAGTGGGGAGACCAGAAAGGAGTTTGAAGAAGATTAAAACAGGGAAGAAGAAAAGTGTCTGTAAAACAGGTGATGTCATCTGTGCTTTTGTCTTGCCTGGGTTGTCCGGGATATTTGTGTTTGAACAAGAACTTGCTCTGGGACGTTGTCACTGTGGGTGATACCTTATACCTGCTGCAATGGGAATGATTCCAACATTGAGTAACTGGGGAAGTTGGGCTTGGAAATGTGTGGATGGAGGAACCAATTTTTAAACAATACAGTCCTTGATAATTTGCAGAAGTGGAAATGAAACATATCTGCTAAAAACACATAAGAGCGGGGTTGTATTAGGTCTGGTGTGTTTTAAAACTTTCTTCAATCCCTCTTTAAGGCCAAGAAACATAAGAACTTTCACCTTGATGAGCTGAGAATCAGTGAGCAATATCTCTCCTCTGTCTTATAAATAGGATTGGGTCTCAGCAAAAACAGCAGATCCAGACTTCGGGGGAAGTTCACATCCCGATCTGGATTCATACTTCAGGCCTGTCACTATAGTGGGCCAAACCAGACCACAGAATTTAAATTACCCTGCCCCTCCCCCACAAATTTGTGGAAGTTTGGATTCAGGTCCAAATACAGATCTGAATTGTGACTTGGGACCATATTGGCTTATATCAGCTTTAGTGTGTGTGTGCATATGCGTGTGCGTGTGTTGGGGTGGAGAAGCCTTACTGAACACTTGTGTAGCATGCATGGACAAAGTGGTTCTTGTTTTTGTTCAATAAACTGAGTGAAGGAAATTGTGCATCACAAATTGACTGTAAATTTTTGCCTTCCCCAGTGGAGTATAAAAATGCCAAGAGCAACACCTCAAATTCTCCTCTGGTTCCTGTGATAACGAGAACCTTCTGCTAAAACAACAAGGAGAAAAAAACCTGTAACATGACGTTTTATTATAAAATTGAAATTGTTCTGTGATACTAGTACATAAATCTCTTTCCAAACTGCCTGTTCTCTGAATTTCTTGCTGTTCTTGGACCTGTGGTGAGCATGCCAGAGCCAGTGAAAGTCAGTGATAGCTCCCCAAGCAGGGCCCCCACAAATCCCAAGTGCTGGAAAGTCTGGGAAGACACAGATATGGTTTTAACTGGTGTATTGATTAAATACAACCCTACAAACGAACTGACTAGCTCAGGGGATTGGAATAGCAAGCCCGTCACTCAGATGGAGTCTAAGAGTCTCTCAGATAAAGAGCTGAGCCTGAATCTCACTGAGACTGCCCAGTGACCCAGGCTAGCTTTGTGGGATGGTGCCCTATCATCATGTTGTATTGCATTGTGCTGATGTTTTGGCAGGCTGCTTTGCTTAGGCTGAAGTTCTCAGTCACCCCTTCTAAAACTGAAGCCATCTTTAACTGCAGAGCTTTGGCATTAACTGAAATTTGTTAACTTCTGATGGTCATTTGGTGGCCTATATAAAATGATGTGATGATCTCAGCTCAGTTCCTGATGAACAGCTGTGTAACTTCATAGTAAATGGCACTTATGCTGAGAGTTTCAGCATAGAGATCAAGGACTGAATGGCATTCTGAGACTGAACCATGCACCCCTGGAGGGAATCCCTCCAAAGACAACCTGAGGAATATTGGCAGGTTAGTGCTGGGGTGCGGGGTTTACATGGAGAGTGGGCTAACTGGGGAAGCCAAGTCATTACATTGTGTAGAGATGGCAGGGGCTGACTGGCTTCCTGTATCCCCCTCGAACCCAAGTCAATCTCCCCAGTGGAAAACCAGCATAGGGGACTGATCCCATGGGTTTCTGTGAGGTTTCTTCCTGTCTGCATCACCAGCTCTTCCTCCACAGGGAGGCAGAGCATCTGAGAGGGACTCTGACAGAGATGGGGCTTCAACGCTGGGGGCCCCCCATTGTGAGCTCGAGTGACGGAACTAATCCTGTTAGTAAATCATTCCTGCTCTTTCCACAGAAGAGAAGCTCCTTGTGAAAAGAAACAATAAGGGTGAGCATAAGGGATTTGGGTGCTTCTACAAGGGACGTGTTAATCACCAGACCTAATCTCCTAAACGACTGTGTTCCCGTGTCAGGTTGAATTTGAAGCCTGGATGCTCAGAGTAAGTTTGAGGGCTAGTGCAGTAGACTCCATTCAGGCAGGAACTTAATGTATCCTAAAAACTGATTAATTGAAATGAATTAAACCCTGTTAATACCTGCTCCAGCCTGGTTCTTTTGTTACTGTTCCATACCAGCTCCAGTCCTAAACTTCTCACAATACTAGGCTGCTATGTCATTTTTAACATAAGGTAATTTGTCTCCTATACCTCAACAGGCTGAAGGTTGCATTGCAGCTGAGGATGCTGTGTTTTGTAACCTGGACATGCATCCTTCCCCAGCATCCCAGAATTATGTTAAGGGATACTATGCTAGTGGAGGTACTGTCCGTTTTAACCAGGCTATTCTCTGCATTCCAATGTCTCAGTCAAGTGCTACGAAACATTATGTAGCTGATGTTGTTTAATGAACCATATTGTACATTAACACAGTTTTAAGAGATACTGGGCTTGTAGCAGGCAGATTGAGTGTGACAATTTTGTGATAATTTACATGGGTAAGCATTTGTGAAAGACAAGAGGCAAGCTTCTAGACCAAGGTCAGAGCTTCTTAACACCTTCAACAGAAGAAAAAGGCCATGACTTGCATTGGCTTGCGTTGGTACAAAATCAGTAGAGAAATATCTTTTAGGATCTTTCAATGTTGGAGATTTATTTTGATTCATATAGAGTACAATAACAAAGGGGTTGTTGGCCATGCCAGTCTTAAATCCTGGAAAACTAAGACTAGGTAAGTGGATGATGGTGAATGTGCATGCCAGGGGAATGTGTCTGTGTATTTGTGCATGTGTGTTAAGCACACGCCGGGTATGTGTCCTGTTTTACAGGATTGTATTCATGCATGCCTCATATGTGCTAATTTTACATGTCTTCTGCAGGGTCACTCAGCTATTTCCCATATGTGGATGTATGTCAGTCATGCATGTCTCTGCTGGTGCTGGCCAGACACATATGCCTTCATGTTGGAGCTCTCGGCACCAATTTCGAACGTATTAATATAAGTAATTAATATGCAATTAATTAGTTGATTAATTAACATAACTCTGTTAAGCTTTAACTCTAAGTAGACCTGGAACACTCAGGGGAGAGGTGGGAGGGATGGAGGGTTTTGACTGGAATTTTGGAATTTGCACCCTTCTCACATAAGGACTCCTTTTCTGCTGGATCTTTTAGCTGAGCTTTCTCTTTTGGGGTGTTCTTATAAACCCATTCATTCAGCCATGGCCTTCAGCTTCCTTTTCAGCTTCCCAGCTACTCTGTGTAGTTTGGAGGGTTGCTATTTCTCAGATGGTTAAGGGATGGGCTGAGAAGCGTAATGGATGTGGGTAACAGAGGAAGCAAGCCAACCCTGTGGGACGGGAGCTGCGCTTATAGAGCAGCGTGGGGTATTGTCAGGGAAGCCTCCAGTTGCAGCTGCCTGCTGCAGTGTGAATAGTTTCACAGCTCACCGAAGAGACGACTGAATTTAATTCAAGATGAATGGGCGCCTCCCCAATATAGATGACATTTTCATTGCAAACTAACAAAGGGAGAAATCCAATTACATCACAAAGGGGCTCCCTAATAGGCCATGCAGCCTGTGTGTGTGGTGGGGCTAGAGGCTTCTGCGCCACAACAATCCGTTGCAGAGGGAAGCCATGCAAGCCATCCATCAGCCACACAAAGCAGGGGGAGAGAAACACTCACACAACCTTTTTGTGTGTGGGACTAAAAGAGCATCATTTGAAAGTCCAAGAGACACAGAGATTGAGTGAGCAGCCTTTAGCGGGGAAGGGGTTTAGAGTGTCCTTTCCAACCAAGCAGTTCATGTGCGTGCAAGTGTGTTTACATTTTAACCCCTGTTTTGTGAGTCCTTAAATGTGGGGTTCAGGAATCCAGGCTCTAAAACTCTTCCCCCCTCCTTTTGCTCTTAAGTTTCTTCCCTCCCTTCTCCGTCTCAATCAAGCAACTGGAGTCCTGGTGTCAGCAGCCAGGACTGAACTGAAGTCCAAGGAGCTGCATCTATTTATGCCATGGTTGCATTTGGCCTTTTGTTTCTTTCTTCTCCTTCCTTCACCCTTTCCCCCCTTTTTCCCTTTCAGTCTTTCCCCCCTGAGAATCTCTCATTTATGCTATTTTATTTGAGTTGTTATACTGCATCCATCACCCTCTTATATACTCCCCCTCCTCCACTGTTCCCCAACCTTGCAACAAAATCCATAAATCCTCATTCAGTTTTTGTTAGCAGGTAAAAAATACCTGGTACTAGGTCACTGAAATAAAAGGATGAATGCAACTTGAGAGAGAG